AGAGAGAGAGAGAGAGAGAGAGAGAGAGAGAGAGAGAGAGAGAGAGAGAGAGAGAGAGGGAATGTTGCAATGGGGAGAAGAAAAACAAAGATGTAAGGTAAGCTAATGCAAGGAATAGGGATTTCTTTTTGGTAATAAAGACATAGGCAATTCTAAGCTAAAAGGCAATACCAGTATTCCTCAGCCTATGACCATCCGCTTAGTAAATGTTCAAAGTTCCAATGGCATTCAAATAGGTGACTTACAACTGGACCTTGTACTTATCATCATTGCCTATGGTCATGAGATCATGATTCAGGCGCTTGGCAACAGGCATACTGTATAATGGCAGCATCCTGGGGTCAAGTAATTGCTATTTGCAACCTTCCCAGCATTGATCAAAGACAATGGGGAAGTGAGGTTTGTTTAACAACCACAGGATCTGCTTAATGACCACAGAAAACAGCTATAAAAATCAGATGCAGTCACGTGATGACTCATTTAATATCCTCATTGGTTATTAGTGGAAGTTCTGTCCCAGTTGTGGTGGTAAGTTGAAGACTATCTGTATTACATCCAGGGAATGTTCCAGGACAAGCCTGTAAAAATTAGCTTGACTGAGAAGCAAAATACAGGTAGTCCTCAACTTACAACAGTTTGTTTAGTAGTGACCGTTCAAAGTTACACTGAAAAAGTGACTTAGGACCATTTTTCACAGTTATGACCTATCATCATGTGATCAAAATTCAGATGCTTGGCAACCGGTTCATATTTATGACCTTTGCTGTGTCCCAGGGTCATGTGATCACCTTTTGTGACCTTCTGACAAGCAAAGTCAATGGGGAAAGGCAGATTCACTTAACAACTGGGTTACAAACTAATCAACTGCAGTGATTCACTTAACAACTGGAGCAAGAAAGGTTGTAAAATGGGGGAAAACTTAACAACAGAAAGTTTGGACTCAATTGTTGTCATAAGTCAAGGATTTATATACTTAAATCTTCAAACCTCTTAAAGAAATGAACATGCCTAAAAATTTTTATTTATTTTTAGGCTGTCCTGTAGATTCTTATTTATTTATTTGCAAGTATTCTTGAATTGTTAAAATTTCCCCATCTTGGTCTTCTCACATAAGATTTGGATTTATGATAGTATTCTAAACCTTTATGAGCCATTTTTATTTTCCTTTACTCTTGGAAAGAAATATGAGCTAGTTAGAATCACAGATCCTTACTTAAGGACTTACTTAAGCCAAAACTTTCATATAAAATTACTCTTCTAATGCCACTTTGTTGGGTACTGATACATATTGAGAGTAGCAGGCACAGATATTACCAAGAGTTGTCATGCAATATTTTTAGATTTTATAGTTGACTATTTTAAAATTATATATGAATTAATACTACATATGAATTATGTAAATTAAATGTTCGTGCTGATTTAACCCAACTGAGTTATGGGACATGGATATGCACACCTTACTACATCTTAAAATGTTGATAACTTTTCAGGTTTTTGTGTATTCAAGAAAAGAGAAAGGGAACAAATTTTACTTATCCAATTATGTCCAACATAAGGGGCAGTATATCCCCACTTCTTAGTTGAGCAAGCCAGTGTTGTCTGAAAACACATCCACGGTCATGTGGCCAGCATAACTATACACCAAGGCACATGGAGCATTGTTATCTTTCCACTGAAGTGGTACCTATTTATCTACTTATATCTGCATGCTTTTAAACTGCTATGTGAACAGGAGCTGGGGAAAGTATTGAGCTCACCCCATTGCACTCAGGTACTCAAGCTGGGCTGTCAACTTCCAGCTGACAAACTCAGAGCCTTTAACCACTAATCCCCCAATATTGGTTCCACAATTGTGCTTAGTTAAATGCTTTTATTGACTTCTCACCATTAGGGATACTGATAAGGAAGAGTTCCTGACGATAGGAGAATTGTTAATGAGTTCTCCTGAATATACACGTAGAAAATTTTAGATGCTTACGATGAACTGTAAAAATCTAAATGGCAGATTGGCATGTGGGGTTACTGGAGGATCAAGGCTTACTTCCTCCTCCTCCTCCTCCTCCTCCTCCTCCTTCTTCTCCACCACCACTACCACCAAATGAAGGTGTTAGTTAAACTTTCAAATAATACTATTTTACTCAAAAGATTTTTAAAAACATATAAATGCCTATGAACAAAGGAGAAAAAACAAAGGAGACAGTTACCAGCTGTCATTTTTAGGATTAATAATTTCACTCTCTTGTCTTTAGACTACTAAAATTAGATGAGTGAGTAACGGGATTTTTTGTTTGTTTGTTCCAATATCTTCATTTTTGATATTATTTTGTATTTTTCTGAACAGCCATTTAGACCATGGAATCCCAGTGTCCTCAATGAGCCTTATGATTTGAAAGGAACAGAAAAAGATGTTGTTCCAGTATTGATTACTTTGAATAGCAATATCTTTTAGGTTGCTGTAGAGACTCCTGTTTTTTAATGGAAAGCTATCAAATTTGAACTTGATCTCTTCGGCACCATCCCACTGATTCATCTGAAATAAGATTAATAAAGTTACTGATTGATTTCAAGTCGGCATGAACTTTGAAAGTTTATGGAATCACCCTTAGATTCATTTTAATCTGTAATCCTAATGCATTGTTTCTGTATTAACCAAATTAAAAAGAATTTCCTGCAGTAGCTGCCATAGCATCCATTTCCTTATGCAAAGCAAAAGTCATTGCAAAAGATATTGCACAAGAATTAGCATAGCTCTGCAAATTAACCTTCAAACCCTGGCTCAGAAAGATTCCTTTCTTTGATGGGAAACTGAGACTGAGTTCCCCTACTGCTATGCATGAGATTGAAGGATAGGTAAGTGGGTGAGAGAGAAGACAGACAGACAGACAGACAGACAGAGACAAAGAGACAGAGAGTGGGGGGAGGGAGGGAGGGAGGGAGGAAGGAAAGAAGGAAGGAAGGAAGGAAGGAAGGAAGGAAGGAAGGAAGGAATG